AAAGTGGTATCCCAGCGGGCTAAACTTGAGCAGAGTTTGATCAGGGTCAATGCCTTGAGTGATGAGTTCATCGAGAAGACGGTAGATTTGGAGAATGCCAACGAGGCCAGGATGGCAACTTTGGAAAGGATGGCAATAACAGAGGAGGTCATTTGCGTCTTCAGATCCGGACAGGCGGTTCGGCCCTTATAAGATGCCTTTTCTGATACTTCTTTTGATTTGGAATGCTACTTTTGCTGCTTATTCCTGATTCTATTTTTCTTTTCCTTGAACGTTTTCCTCGATTGTGGTCTCAAAGGAATAGTTGGTAGGTGTTAATTCGAACGTGATCGAGTATCTTTGATTAGTCCGAGTGAAGTCAAACGTTGCCATATTTAACTCGAACGAATGTTAATTCGGGTGAGGAGGCCGAATGTCAATTCGGGTTTAGGCCGAATATTAATTCGAGCGAGGTCGAATGAGAGTTAATTCGAGCGAGGTAGAATATTAGTTAATTCGGGCGAGGAGGCCGAATGTTAATTCGGGTAAGGTCGAATGTGATTCGAGCGAGGAGGCTAAAAGTTAATTCGGGCGATGAGGCCGAATGTCAATTCGGGCGAGGAGGTCGAATGTCAATTCGGGCGAGGAGGCCAAATGTTAATTCGAGTGAGGTTGAATGAGAGTTAATTTGAGCGAGGTCGAATATTAGTTAATTCAGGCAAGGAGGCCGAATGTCAATTCAGGTGACGAGGCCGAATGTTAATTCGTGCATGGAGGACGAATGTTAATTCGAGCAAGGGCGAATGTTGATTCGATCTAGGCCGAGTGTTAGTATTCGGGCGAGGCCGGTGAGGCTAGTGAGGCCGGGTGTTTGTTCGGGCGAGGCCGAATGCTGGTTCGGGAAAAGCCGAATGTTGTTTCGGGCGAAGCCGAATGTTGTTTCGGGCGAGGCCGAATGTTGTTTCGGGCGAGGTCGAATGTTGGTTCGAGTGAGGCCGAAATTTGATTTGAGCGAGGTCGAATATTAATTCTAGCGAGGAGGCTGAATGTTAATTCGGGCGAGGTCGATTGTTGATTTAGGTGAGGAGGCCGAATTTTAATTCAGGCGTGGAGACTGAATGTGAATTCAGGCGAGGCTGAGTGTTAATATTCAGGCGAGGAGGCTGAATGTTAATTCGGGCGAGGCAAAATGTCAATTCGGGAGAGGCGACCAAATGTTAATTCGGGCGTGGAGACCAAATGTGAATTCGGGCGAGGAGGCGAGTGTTGATTCGTGCGAGGGGGCCGAATGTTAATTTGAGCAAGGACGAATGTGAATTCGGGCGAGGAGGCCGAATGTTAATTCGGGCGTGGAGACTCAATGTGAATTTGGCATGGAGGTCGAATGTTAATTCGGGCGTGGAGACTGAATGTGAATCCGGGAGAGGCCGAAATTTGATTCGGGCGTGGTTGAATGTTGATTCGGGCGAGGCCAAATTTTGATTTGGGAGAGGCCAAATGTTGATTCGGGTGAGGCCAATGTAACTTGTGTAATTGATGCAACATCGCTTTGGCAAAAATGCGGATGAGCTCCATGCACTTATGCATTTCTTACACATATCGGAGGGATTTACATGTTTTCCGGGCTGGCAATCCAGTCGTAGTCTATATATCCACCAATGAAAACATATCCACATAGCTTTCTGTTATTTGATTATATGATAAAGAGATAAGGTCGCTTTGTTTTGTAGCGGGGCTCGTCTATCGTCTCTCTAGCTCTCTCTCTACTCGTCTCTAACTTAAAATTGACCAGTTTGTGCCTATAATGTAAAACATAATTAAAGATATCTTCAAAGAGATAATAGGAAGTACAAAAACATAATGGGTTAAATTGTTTTCAACCAACCTAACAACCCCATTCTATCTCAAGAGAAAGTAACAGATAGTGCATGATTGGTGGTTGGAATTTGGAAAGAAACAAAAAGGTACAGATCAAGTGGATTCCTTTGCCAATAGCCCAAGAAAGGGAGAAGAAAGAATATCAAAGTGCCTGGGCCAAATCCTTTGTATGATTTTTCTGTCTTCATATCCGACGAATGACAATTCATGGTGGTCCTTTTTTTCATTGTTTCTCCCTCCAGTACTAAAAATGAATTTTTGATCCAGAGGAAACTAAAATTTTAACTAGAAAATTCCAACAGACGGCGCCCAATTGTTTGACCAAAAAAATATGAGACATTTTTGTTAAACTAATTAAATAAGAAGATAGGTGGTAAATCCTAGTTAAGGATTATTAATTCTAGATCTGAGATGAATAACATGAATAGAAAAATATAGTTGAGTATAAATGCTGGCAGTGATTATGGCCAGATTAAATAGTATGAAAAAAGATGCATTAAGTAACATTAAATGACAATAAAATATAAATAAAGGAAAAGATTCATCCAATCTTGAGTGAGGCGAATCCTCTTTCATTTGATAAAGAAGAATGATAGGCAGATACAAGAATCTTAGGATCCTTGTCGGATCTGGTGTAGGGTATGGGATAACAGATCTTCTAATCTCTTTAGAGAGATGTGTTTATATATTTTCTAGAGAGAGTGTGTGAGTCCCTCTTTTCAGAAGTCCCCTCTTCCTATTTACAAGGGATATCCCTAGAAAATCCTAAAAAAGTACAATTTAGAGGCCTCGGCCTTATAGATCGTTGCTCGACTTCGGCCTTATAGATCACTGCTCGGTCTCAGCCTTATTGATCAATTCGATTCGCAGGTTACTCATGACAATTGTCTCCGCTTGTCGAACTCCGATTTGATTTTGACCCATACAATCATAGTTTTATCATTGGACGCTGCTAAATTTAGTTCTTTCTTGACATTCAACTTGTCTAAATTATATCCTTAAATAAACAAATGTTAAAAAAATAAAACGTGACCAACCGCAAAGAAATGAAAAGTTTTTCTCTATCCCTCTTAAAGCATTCCCCTTATTTAAATGTCTTTTACTTATGGTTATATTTTCATTCGTAATTTCTTTTTTAAGTATGCAAAAGTATCTGAACAATTTAAATAAAAGAAAGTAGGATTACATTAACGATATTAATTGAATCGGCAACATGAATCTTCTAATCTAAGCATAGGCGAATTTAGGAGATTTCAACTGCCTCACTACTTGCTCCAAGTGCCATTCTATATATTTCTGCCTCAATACGTTTTCCCTTTGCACAAGCTTCAGCCTGTTTTAATTCCTCTACCCAATCCAATGGCATCCTGCTCATCTCTTGCCAAGCAGGAATCTTAGCTCCAAATACATGCTAGGAGGCTATCTTTATATCAAATTTGAATCTATATAAAGTTTAAGAAAATGAAAAATCAAACTTTTGCATATACACATACTACCTAGAAAAGTTTGTTTTTTATTTTTTAACTTCGATCTATCCTATTATTTCCTAATATTATCTTTGGCATTCTAACAAGTAAACAATATTTTGAAATATATATTTGCTTCTGTACAACGACGACAAACCCAGTATACTTATTTTTGAGATTATCTTTATTGTTCTAGGCTTAAAATCATACAGAATAAAGAACGAAGTTTTGGTTCTTAATGAGTGCTTAGCATAAATATTCCGTAGGAAACCATAAGAGAATAGAAAAACATATCAGGAAACACATTAATGAGCACAAGACAAAGAAATAGCACATACTAACTCATATTGGTGAGCCCATGCTTAGCATAGGCTGAAGGTAATCTAGCATTCTCCCTGATTTCTATGCTAATCATGGTAACTAATTATTTTCACGTAATCAGCAAATGTGAGTAAATTTTTTCCATAATGTTTCTTTCAAATGATAGAGCAGGCTGAATGGGACTCCATTTGTTTACCTATTGAACGAAGATGAGAGTCCTCATCTGAAGGGTTGACGTAAGATAGTCTTAAGCGTAAGCGGTTTTAAGTGAGTGAAAACTAATTCTAACAGAGGATTGCTTGTGAATGACAGTCCTTGTGATGTTATCTTGTTGTGACTGATAATCTAAGAGATTTCTTTGCTTTTCGTCCTTCACAAAGAAGCAAAAGATTCCGTATTATGGGAGATAAAACTACGTAATAATCTTCTTTGTCAGAGACCTTTTAAAGCTGTGTGATTGAATCACCTACATATGCAGGCTGCCCCTGCCCCCTGCAATTGCTAATTTTTTCAGTTTCCTCACTATGTATAGCAGCATGAACAGCAAATACAAGTAACACATAGATTGTTCATTATAGAGGCTTGAGAAAGACCAAGTTTGTGTATGGTAACATGTTTTTCTATTCATTCTTTGAAGGATACCATGCTATGATGGAACTGACTGTCAATTGCTGCGGAGTATAATGAAAATGAGCAAATTGCATTTGGTCCTTAATGCCCTAGAAAGATAGCAATAGATCACCGATGACTTTGACACTCTTCGGCTTAACTGATCAAAAGTACCTTACAGGCATCAATTGTTGAAAAACACTTTTGACCAATTTTATAAATTAGTCATGAGTTTTGATAGTGTTGAAACTCATATTAAACATATAGCTTCTTTAAGCTCCGCTTCTTTGTTTTAGTATTGCAATCACTAAAACAGTTGTAGCCAAGGTCGGAGCTAGAGTGATGGGAGCGGGTTCGGCAGAATCCAGTAGCTTGGGTTCAAACCCTATATTTATCTTAAAAATCCATTGAATATATATATATATATATATATAAATTATTAATTTAGAACCCAGTAACTCAAAACGATTAGAATCTCAAACACATAAGCTTGAAATCCTAGCTCCGCCTCTGGTTGTAGTTCTGTCCAAAACACGTACTAGTATCAAATACAAGGAGAAACAGGAAATGAAAAAAATTGCAGAAACAAGCGAACTTCAGATGTGCATAAAATATATTTATGCTAGCGTCAAATTTCTGTATATGCTACTCCATTTAGTAATGCAGTTATTTTTTTAACAAAAAAATTGTTAACTTTCTTTAGGAACTTTAATGGCAGACTGCTACCTGTGAGATTAGATGAAGATGACTACCCAACGTGAGAAATGCTGTTACTATATGGACAGGGACAAAATACCATTTACAGGGAGCAAAGCCCATGAACAGAAAGGTTACTACTCTCAGTCCTCTTCATAGCACTTTATGCATGGTACATGAACAAGCTGCTTCCAACAGAACACGCAATCAAATTGTGCGTTGGATGCCAAGCCAGATGCAGCAACTTGGACTTAAGATTACAGGAAGTCTCATTCTCTGAGCTATCTTGTCCTGAAATTATCAACAAAAAGCAATGTAAATGAGATGACAAAATATGCCAGGTTTCAAAGCCGGGAGGTTAGATCTGCCACCAATTGATTGATGAATTATGGACCCTTACAAGGGTAAAAACCTTGCCCATATCGGTGACCGGGGTTTAAACCAAACCAATGAATGCAAGACATGTATCTTGTATTCACACATTTATCACTTAATTATGGTTAACTGATATGTATTCTCATTTAAAATTTTAATTACTAGGGTAAAGTTCTTTGCTTGGTGTAAACATTAGGTGTAAAATTCACTTCATCATGCACAAGGACATGCATGGCTGTTACTAACTACCTTGACGATAAAATCCTCGAGTCAAGTTGCTCAATGACGACCTTCGAGGCCTTGTAGTAGCTTGAGACGTTGGTTTCCTACAAATTCAAGGAATAATGAAGCATCAATTCAAGAATATAATAGAAGAAAGACAATAGTAAGATCATTTTAGTACAAGGGTTACCTATTTGGACTTTTTCTAACTTCCAGTGTGATGCCATCTTCATTCTCAGCTCCACAAGAAAATATACGAAGATGATTGCTAAATCAACAAAAGATTACCAAAATCCATCATATGTATAAAAGATCAACAAAATGAAAGCACAACATGTATACAACATCAGTACAACATTTTATATGTTGACATAAGTTAGAGCTGTGATAAACCTGTAAGATCCAGTTGCAAATTGAAGTCCATCTCCATTCAGGCAGCAATCAAACTTATCGAAAATGGCGTCATTTGTATACAGCTTGGAAAGCTGCCACACAACATGGATTATGTCAATTATACTGCAAATCAGAAAATACTATCAATCTATTTGAATAAATAGCATATTCACACGTTACACCATATCACCAACTGTTTATTTCTCAGTACAACTCTGACAAATGTCTGTGATGAATACTCTCATACCTTAGGGCGGAGGTGTTCATGAATCTTATACGTTGCAACTGGGGAAGTCTCCATGTGAGTGTCCCATAACTATCAAATAGTTAACAATTAAGATATAATTACAGATCCAGCTTATGATAGCGAATGTAAAACGCCAAAAGAAGGGGTCAAGGATCACAGGAAATAATAACCAAGCAAAGCCATAGCTTATTTGTATGTCACTCAGGGACGAAGAGAACAAAGAAGATTCCACTAACGAGAGATGAAAGAATCAAAATGAAGTGGCATAAAAACAGGCAAAAAAAAAAAAAAAAAAAAGGAAAAAAAAAAAAAAAAAAAACAAAGGTAGAAGCAGAAATCAATAAGATGAATACACTTTTAAGGACCCTTAAAATGAAATCGCGCAAATGTCAGAAACACAGAATTCCCAGATAAATAGTGCATGAATCACCTAACCGAGGAGTAAAACATGTGTGAGAAGCACATATCAATACAACTTCCATCCTTTTTCAATCACTCGTTTTTGTTTCTTGCATGTTAAATTGAAAGTTTTACATTTGATTCGGAATTGATTTATTTTTTGAGGAATGTAATTAAAGATCAATAAACTGCATAGGATATATGGTTAAAAATAAGGGTCAGATTACAGATTCTAAAAACATAATTGAGAAAACTCAAAGAAAAGTTTGTTTTAACCACTCAAACAAAAACGGGACTGAAGGAATAAGAAATACTTGACTTCTTTTCTTTTCTTGACAGATAGCACCAAGTTCAAAGAAATGCAGGTATGGCAACAAATCATAGCTTAGGGTGCGTTATCCAGTAAAAGAATCATCGAGAGGAAGACCTTCAGAGTCATGTAATCACGACTTAGGATATGCCTTCCATCCATTGCATACTTCACATCAGATATGGAAGCTATGATTTCACTGAAAAGTGTTTTAGGGCCACGGCTCCCCCCATCTTGCAATCTGTAAAAGTCAGTAGCAGGTTGTTAAAATAAGTACTGGTAGTTGTGTCAGGGCAGCAGATTAGAAGCTGAAATGCATCATGCAGATGAGAGAAATAAAATAGAGATGGGAATAAAACTCACATTTTCACACTGTGATCACATAGTGCAGATTTCCTCATGTCAACAAGTCGGATGAAACCTCGTGAACTACTATAAGCCAACAAATTGCAGTGAAATGGATGGAACTCTGCTGATGTAATCACCTCTACACAAAAGAATGGCGCAATGAGCATTTTTATCCTTTATTAGGTGGCAGCCTGGTCAAATGTTTTATGCAAAAAAGAAGCATAGGGTAATGAAACTAATTTAGCCTAATGACTTTATTCTACCCATGTCATAAGGTAGATCATCATCCTCAAATTTATTGGTCAAGTCCTCTTCGGGGAGAGGAGTAAAGTNCCTCCCCAAACACAAGTCTGGGGCTAAAACTGTACTCTTCCATATCAACCAGACAGGCCCACAAAGCTTCCCGACCCTCACCAAACTAAACTCATCCCTAGCATGAATACGAGGTTTATGTAGATTTTGGGTACATAAATGTATAATCTACAGATATCCTTCAGTTATGTTGCTAAGTTTACCTATGAGGCCTAAAGCTACTATCTGAATCCATATTATGCCTCCCATAAACTCTCGAAGTGCTTTGGCATCATATCATTAGTTGGTAAAATTTATAACATATACCTCCATACTTTTGGAGACTAAACTGGAAACTTCAAATAATGGTTAACAGAGAGTAGCACGGATGCATGAGAAAATACAGCATATGAAATGCTTCAAGAAGACATCTGGGATCACCTGTAAGATCTTCCATATCTTTTGGCTTCATGTCAATGATGTTGAAACACTGGTCTCTGACATCAAGGTTCCATACGTTTATCCTAAGGTCATCCCCAGAAAGGAATGTCTCACCATCGCTGTAAAAGTATTAAAACCAGAGAATTATCTAACGCTTGGCACTCCTTCAACCGGTAAACAACATTCACACTATTGAGTTTCTATGGTACTGCTACTTATAGAAGGATGCCTCTAGTCTGATCAATCAAGCTCAGTCAGAAACACAAACAATAGGGCTGGTCAAATTTCATTTCACGTGAGCAAGTTTAAAATTCATAATATTCGCAAGAACAGAAGAATACCTATTGTTTGAGATGGAATTGATGTTGAAATCATGAGCATGTGCATACACTCTTCTGCATCTTCTAGAAGCCACATTTGTGATATCTGCAAGCTATTTACAACAGTAGCTGGAATCACAAGCTATAACAGCATGTCAAATGCATATAATTTGGGGAGGTAAATGTATTAACGAATGCGTGAATATTAACACTCTTCCATGTCCTACATGTGAGGGCAATGTGCCATTCATTTTGTCAGTCCATTCTAGCCTGGTACCATTAGCATGAGATGGTTCACTTTGTCCACTCATGAAACTTTTATCAGCTAAAAGAGAATTCTCTGAAGTCACAAATGGATTGATGTCCATTTGTTTAACTTTCTTTACTTTCTGTTCCTTGATCTGCAAAAGAAACAAATGATGAAAACAGTAAATTGATTTGTACAGCTTAGTAAGGTTACAGTAGATGGAAATCGACAAGTGGATCTAAGTTCATCAAGAAAGAACACGCCATCCGGGTTTTTTTCCGTAATGCACAGACAAAAAATCAATCTTTACAGACTCTGAACATGCAATGCAGCTAATACTTAACTTTAACCACAGAGAAATCTTCTTTTATTTTCCCACTGTTTTTATTTTTCATGTGTGGTGTATGTCACAAATAGATGAACAATTAGATGTAGTTCTTAGTTCAGAAAGCTGCATCTAACCAAGTTAAGTATCTTAGTCAGAAATATCTTAAAAGATAAAAAATGATAGTACTAGTTCACATGCATTTCTAATTATCAATCTTTTGATCCTGAAAGAAAAGGCTCCCGATATAGAATCTTTTATTTGGAGGGGCACCAGAACCCTTTCTTTCTTCAATTTAAACTCGTCTGAAGATTATCGAATGCCACAGGAATTTCATACCTTCCAAAGTTTTATCGTCCTGTCATTTGCTGTAAGAAGAAACAATGATCTATTGAGTTTCGTACACCATCTGATTTTATTAATCTTCTCTTCAATTTCCACGCTCTTCAAATAATCAAACTGAAGAAGATGTAACATGATCAGCATCCAAAGTTCACAACTATCACCTACAGATGCAAAATTTAAGTAGCCTTAAAAGATGTATGCAGAACTAGATAAGATGAAAACCTAAATCATACCTCGGGTTCATGACTTTGGAATTCCGTCTTATATTTAAATTCAGGATGCTGCCAAAGTGGAAGGTTGAACTGACCAGAGTCACGTCGAGAACTTCTGTCAAATAGACCCTACAAGACCATAAAGGTGAAAAGATTACATGAGATACAAAGTTTGAGTATGACACTCAAGAAAGTACAGAATATTGCCGGCTGAATTCATATTTACACAAATGATATTTATGAAAATTGTGTCCGCACTTCTTTACCAGTCTGCCGCTCAAAAATTATGACACGTCCACCTTGATCTCCAACAGCAAGATGATCGCCATTCTTGTCAAATTCCATTGCAGATAAAATATCACCTAACATAGAATCATGTTATGTGCAGGCCATCAAGAAATATTAAAGCAGAAATAAAAGTAACACCAATTTCCTTCTTGCTCCATTATTTCTTTGGTTCATAATAGCTCCTTTTCAGGTGAGAGGGTAAAATAAGGAAACAAAAGCTAAACATCTCTTTGCTGTTTCATTTTTAATAGCTGAAATGCAATGAAAAGTTGGCTTTTCCTTTTTCTAGTTTTCACTATAAAAATATGAGAAATCCTTTTCTATGTAACTGCTCTCCTACCCCAAGGAAACTTCTTTAAGTGAAGTTAACCAAGTTAATGCATAAGATGTTATAAATGTATAAAGTCCTGCACCAGCAGTCACATGCAAGGGTACAAAAAATTCAATGGTAACCAATCTTCTTTTTTCCAGCTATAACAGAATTTCAACGTAAATCTAGTATTAGATAAAGTAAAATGTGTGTGAATGTGGTCCAACATATTCAATGAAATGTAAGAATTATTTTCCATAATATAACCAGTTTGGCCTCAACAAGCCTTCCTGCTTTTTAGCAATCCTCATATCCATTCAACCCCCTTCTCATTCAAAGGATGGAAAAGCCTTCGTCTTGCCACATATACAATGAGTGGATTTAATGGATTGTTTTGTGGACAGTATTCCTTCTTTTTGACTATGCTATTGATTCTCCTCACATTCTCCACCAGCTTCATATAACCAACATAAGCAGACATGGCTAACAAAAAAGACTAAACCAAATATCCCTTGCGTTGTGAGAGAGCTTCATCAACTTAATCCCCCATTGAACTTCTAAAGCATAACCTTATTGAATTCAATGATTGACATATCTAAGCATAACAGAAGAAAACGAAGTTCCCAATGGCCCTCCGTTAAAGGTGCCTTTTTCTCAACTTCATATTCAAAACCTGCTTCTCATTCTTAATCTTAACAACCTCTCTACCCTTTTCGGGTAGGGGTAAGGTCTGCGTACGCTCTACTCTCCCCAGACCCCAGTAGTGGGATTTTACTGGGTATGCTGTTGTTGTTGTCTTCTCATTCTTAATCTTAGTACTAATGAAGCAGATTGGAAAATCCTATAGAATTATTTCTGTAGCATCAGCCAGTCTCTTGTCTCAACTGAACACTGGACGTTCAAAATTCAAGAAATATCCTTATTCCACAATCAACAACAATAACAACTGCTGGTGCTGCTGCTGCTGCTGCTGCTACTACTACTACTGCTGAGACACAAATCTCCAACTGCTAGTTGGGATCAGCTAAAATATGTCACCTGCTGGAACTGAACCTCCATCCCAGTTTCTAAATCTTCATTTTGCTATAGAAATCAAACAAGTTTACCCTATTAGGCTTCAAGATTTCATGTATAAAACTACAGCATCCAATTAAGGGAAGCAACAGATTTCCTTCCGGTCCTAGACTCGCCTCATAAAGAAAAGACTAGTTCAAATAAGAATATTTCCACTCATATTTTTATTTTTTATAAGCTGTTCATACTTATGATATATTAGAAACAAATGTTACACATTTCATTCCAAAGCATGAAATACACAAATTACTGGATTTCATTGACATAAAATTTCACTAAAAGTAAAAGAGAGTTTACAATCTTGAATATCTTCACCGGGAGTTTGTTCACCAAAAACTTGAGAGAACTTCCATTCAGAGCCCAAAGTCATAGCTCCAGTCAAGATACACCCAAGATTAATTTGAGGAATCTCTTGCGATTCTAACAGTTGAAGGTTTGAATTCAGAGACAAGAAGAAGGGAATCTTTCTTTCAATTTCTGTTTTGCTACTGAGTTTTTAATGGGGGGCTCTTTTCTTGTTATCCACTCGATGTTTCCCGGGAAAAAGGAGTTTATGCAATAACTGTTTTTTGTCCTTTTTGTGAGTAACCAAAGGTCGTTGGTAGCTTTTACACGGTGAGAGCCAATGCCATGTGATGGGTAACGGCTCATCCTGTTGGATACTGGGCTGCACCTTTTACGCCGTCAGCTCAAGTCCCCTTTCTGCGTAAAAATTGCAGTCATCTTCATTTAATCTCTATCCAATTTTTAAACAACTTGGGGTTTTTTTCTCATCTTTCTCCTTCTCCTTTTCCTCTTCTTCTTCTTCTTTTATAAGATAGTTTATAATATTTTATAGTGGTGTGTTGGTATGACGCTTTATTCTATCCGTTGTTAGATTTATTGTTGTTTTGACAAATTGATGATTGAGATTTTTTCCTCATTATATTTGGAGGTTATGTTTCAAATTTGAGCTCATTTAAAATAGATTTAGGTATTAAATCGTATATTGGATTATTAAAATTCGAAGAACAAATTTATGTTTTTCGGCAATTTTCACTTCAGACTTATTGGCCTTAAGTGCATGAAACCATTGGTTGCATTCCAGACCTTTTTGGCCTTAAGTACATCTAAGTACAATTTTTCACTTCAGACTTATTGGCAAGTTTAGGAAAACGTTTGTTGCACTTCACAATTGGTCTTAAGTGTATCTGAAGTGTTATTTTTCAATTCAGACTTATTGGCCTTAAGTGCATGAAACCATTGGTTGCACTTCAGACCTATTTGGCTTTAAGTGCATTTGAAATTCAATTTTTTCACTTCAAACTTATTTTTCTTTAACTTCAGACCCAATAAATCTGAAGTTGATCGTAGAGTGGGTAGGTTTGCAATTTTTTTGCAAAATAGGTATAGGTTCAATTATGAACCCAAAATCGAGTATATATGCAAAAGCTCCACTTTCTGTTGACACCGGCGCAAAGTAATTTCAAAAAAAAAAAAAAGTTGTTTTTGTGTTTATTGCATGAAAAAATCACAAGGAAGAAATTTACAATCCTCACTCTTGAGCGGTCATTACTATTTCAACTCTTAATTTCATATCGTCATTCCAATCAGAACTATTATCAATATTTAATATTAAAAAATTTCATTAAACAATAGTATCTGATTTGCTAATATTATTATCAACTAGTTAATTGATCCACGCTTCGCGCGGTAAAATAATTCATTTTGTAAATTTAACTGATATAAAATAGATAAAAAAAAATTAGCACAAAATATTTTTCTAAAAAAGGTTTAATCTTAGTCAAACATGCAAATACAATAAACAAAACAGATGTATAAGGAAAAATACATATGAAAAGATGAATTAGAAAAATAAATTCAAATAAATAAAACGGCATATTGGAAGGGAAGCTAGCACTTATTTTGTAGAGAAAAAATATGCAATGTATGTCTTCTCGCCCTTCGTTCCTAATTAAATGTTATTCATAAATGTTTTTAAGAATCTCATCTTTAGAAAATAGCAATTTTATTAATGCATATTAGTAATTAAATAAATACATTAAATTTGATTCTTACATGAAAATAATACGATTAAGATTTTAATTAAATGCCCTAAGCAATTGAGAGTCGGAGATTTTATAATCAATTGTGCGGTCAAATCACCACGAAGTGTTCCCCCAAATTAATCATGTAAAGGGCCGATCTCTTGAATGTTGGTTATAAAAGCAATTACTTAATAAATTAATAGAATATCACACAAATGCATTATAGCATTTCCTCAACCATCTAAAAAAAATCACAAGTTAGAAAACAACACAAAGAATATTGAAAATCGTACAAAAGATGGCATATACAGTTGGTCGAATTTGAGAGAATAATATAGCAAGTAGGTATTACAACATTTCCTCGAAACTGTAGAAAAATGAAAAAAAAGATGCACTATTTCCCTATTGCAACAGAGATAATTACCTTATTGAAAAAAACTATGAAAAATAATATTTAGTTCACAGTAAGTTATCCGGAAAACATCAATTTTGTCAATTAATTTTTGCACAAGTGACACTGGAACCAAGCAAAATACCTTCGCTTTTTGTACATCAATCTTTCCCTATTATTTCTGAGTGAAAAGAATTATTACTATGAGAAATGGAGGATTGGAGCTGAAAGCCTCATAGAGGACTGAAGTTCTAAATCTCGCCTTGAAAAGTTTTTATAGAGTTGAAAGTCTCGAGGAGGGCTGAAACTATCATATTAGAAAATAAAAAGGTGTCAGAAATAAAACATAATGATACTAATTTAAGCGTCTCAGAAATTGAATTTGTAAAATAAGATATTTCTAATACTTTAATCTTGTAATAACTTAATTAGACGTTTTCAATTAGGATATCTTTAAGCTTTTTTTCATGGTATAACATCAAGGTACTTTAGTAAACAAAAAATTTCACTAACTAAGCGAAAAAGTCTAACCAAAATATAACTTAAGTGAAATAAAAAGAAGTTGATGCGATGACACAGCACAAAAGGTCAAAAACAAAAACGTCAAACCAAAAGTTTTTGTTTTCCACATTAATCAATTTGAAAACAAAAATTTATTTATTAGGAACACCACAAAGATAATTGAGCAGGAAAAATGCACAATCTTCATACCTTATCCATGAAGTGGTTTCAAGAAAATTACTGGCCAAAAACATCATGAAAAAACTATAGTATTGACAAAATATTAATAGAAACAGACAGAATTACCGTAAATAAACTAAAATACCAATGAAATATCTTGTATTCTTGCTCCAAAATCAAAAGCAAACTTTAATAAAACTACTAACAGACAATCATATTCTCATTAAGTATTTCTCTATAATAATATTTTATATATTCCAAAAGTAATTAAGCCAACTATCAAAGCTAATGAAATCTTCAAAATTAGTAAATTAAAGCATTAATAACAGCAATATAAATTTCAACTTCATAAAGAAAATTATTAACCTCAAAGGAAAAATGGATTGTTGAAGAACTTTCGTAAACATTTTCTTTTTTAGTGATCCGGATAATTATTCACACCAATCTGGCCTAAGAAAGCAAAACTATAAAACTAATATGGATAACACAAAGAGATGAAAATGGCATGCAACTTAATAACATAAGGCTGGTCACCATGGCCAATAAAGAAATTTGGAAGAAAGAATTGGTCAGTAAAGGATTTGAGAGGAGATAAGCAAAAAGGGAAGATGACTCAGGATAAAAGAAGATTGGTTTGTAACTGAAAGTTTATGCAAGAAATTTGAATAGGAAATGGAAATTAAAGGGAATATGGAACTGTAACTGAAATACTGTGCTAAAATTGAAAGAAGTTTAACGATAATCTATTCTAATCCAATCGTTGTAACTGAACTCTGTATGTTTTCAGTAGCTGAATTGTTGGAAGTTGGAACGGTTACAATGAAGGTAACAAAATAGATATTTAAAGTAGATAACTGAGAGAAAAGAGCAAAAAATTAACAAAAAAGATAAATACCATTCCAGGCATTCCTATTCCCTCCTTTATATTAATATATAGATCTTTAATAATACTTCCTACCACCGCTCCACAGGTCTTTATGCCTTCTTTTCTAGGCACTTGGTGGAAGCTACTTACCCACACTCTTTTACATCAACCTACAATTATCTATTATGTTAAGTTTACTGAAACAATTGTTGAGTAATAAATAGTATGTAAAAGACACGTGTATTTATTGGCTTACGCAACAACCGTCGTTTTAATGTTTTTTTCCGCTTTTCACAGCTGCTCTTCCACATTTTCGAATACATGGTGCCAAATGTCACCCCTTTCCTTATTTCTTTGATAATAGAATCTTTGTAGTGATTGTACAAGTTCGTGAAGAGGGAACATCAAATGTGGAACATCTTTCTGCACTTGGTTATTCTTTTGCTTGGTCATTGTCACTAATGAGTATTACAAGCAATGGGTACATAAATCTACAGCTGCTTTACAAATTTCAGTAGCCAAAGCTACAGTTTTTTTAAACCCTTTCCTCTGATCCTTCTCCGAGCTAAAATTGAAAGTTGAGTAGTGCCTTCCATTCTTTCTCTGATTTTGAATCTGTTAACGATAACTTAGCAGCGAAGTTGAGCCGTAAGAATATATCTGTCTGGTCAAATGCACTTAACATGGTCAGTTTGGCATTTTAAATGAGTTCATGCAGAAGATCAATCAAGCGACCTGAGGTACTGCTTCCTTCACCTCCTGGAATTTAGTAAACAAGACATAGTATGAATTTATGTGATCAAGCCTCTATCTAAAGAAATTACTGTGAAATTCTCCTTACATTCGAAACCTCTACCCATAGATCAAGTGTCTTCAGCGCTTTGCCGGAGACTAGTGTCTTACGAGCTAATGCAACTCCTTCAGCCAGATTCTTAACATGTCCACTTACTAGGAGAGCAGTTGCTGCATTTAGTGCTTGTGAATTTGTTTGATAGATAATGTAAGAACTTTCAAGGTGAAATGACATTATTGAAAATGGAAACAAGTGCTCTGTCAATCTTTTTATAAGGAGAAGCCTTAAATCTGACAAGCTAATCAATTAGATAAGTTTATAAGGATATTTGAAGCATAACAGACAAAGAAACTTACAAATGCATCAGCAATCGGCCCTTTTTCTCCGGACAGCACGCGTTTGAGCATCTCGGCATTGTAATCTGGACCCCTCCACCTCGCAAGCTTTCTAGAGTACAACGCGGGATGGCAAAGTCCGCTATTGAAGAATAATCTTGTCAGGTTAATTTTTTCATAGAGACAATGTTGTATATAAAAATAAAAAAAATAAAAAAAATAAAAAGGGGCAGCCCGGTGCACGAAGCATCCCGCGTTCACGCAGGGTCCGGAGAAAGGCCGCATCCCAAGGGGGTGTGATGTAGGCAGCCTACCCCAAAGAGACAATGTTATATGACTAGTGAAAAACACATTAATCATATTGCATCATTCTTTACTGCAGAGTTCACCAAATACTTAGGGCGGCATTCACTTGTTATCAGTGTGAAGCAATAAATACATCCGGCTCTGGGCTGCCTTTTTCTGATTTCATGAGTTACTTACATGGATCAAAGGAGAACTTCTCAATATTGTCTAGTGTGATATCAAGGACTAATCCAGGGCCTGCGAAGTGAATTGTCATACTAAAAGATATACAAGCAAAGTCAAACTAAAAAGGACAATGTTACCAAAGACAACATATTTACTAGTATCGTGGAAGGGGACCATACCAAGAGGACTCATCTCATCTGGGCCTTCTGAGTGAACAACCAATACTTTTTTCATGCCAAATCTCTGGACTGCTTTAGCCATTTTGTGGACCGACAACAAGAGATGTTTCATTCACCAAATGAATGTACACAACACATAAAGAATAACATTGAAACATGTCAGAAAGCTATGAACCAAAGGGCAGAATGAAGATAAGACCAGAAAATTTAGCACCTCAATTCACATAATTTAAGACTACAAGATTCTTAAAGCTACATTCATAGAACAAGTGATATTAGTGTAATTCAACAGTTGAAAATGTACCAGGTCTTCTTTGTAAACTCCAACTACAGCAAATGGCACTCTTGATGGGTTCAACATAGGGCCCAAGATATTGAACACTGTCTTTACTTTAAGCTTTTTCCTGATAGGTCTGACAATCTTCATCGCTGGATGATATATTGGAGCCATCATCAAACCTATTCCAGCTCGAGTTACACACTCTTTCACCCCCTGAAGCCAGTAACAAAGAATAAATGCATGGTTGTTAGATGGCTCAGTAATAAAATTACGTTAATAATTTGATTTGGTGAACGCCAAATCTAGTGTTTCTCCTTATAAAGCAAATATTAACTAATGCGATAGCAAACTTCATTTTTAAACCTTCATTTCATAAAACTACAGCATATTTTTCTCTTTTCATAAATAAAAAAATCATAGAACTACAATACAATATTAAAAGTCCTCAACTACCAACATTTTTCAGCCAAGAACAGCAATATCACCAACCTCAGGGTCCAGCTCAATGGCAATGCCTAGTGCTTCCAATACATCTGCACTCCCACAAGCGGATGAACTCGACCTATTACCTTGCTGCAATTTAATCCCACAAGTTTTTAGCCTCAAATGTCCACAGTTTTTAGTGAAATTAAATAACTTTGGACAACAAAAAAGAGCTCTGTTAACCTTGGCTACTTTTGCACCACAAGCTGCAGCAAGTATTGAAGCACCTGTTGAGATATTCACCGTGTTTGCACCATCCCCTCCTGTTCCAACAATATCAACCACGTCGCTTAAGCCTTCCACTTGTCTGCAATGCTTTATCATTGCCCTTGCCAATCCGACTACCTAATTATTATCACTAGCTCGATTAATGAATGAGCGAATAAAGACATTCTGGTTCTGTGAAATCAGATTCATAGGCAGAGGATTGTACATCTAAATGGAAGCTTTACAGTATATTTTAAATTAGGGCCTGTTCTTCAAAAAGCATAGAATTTTCTGGAAAAAAATTCATCAAAAAGGAAATACTATAATAAAATATTTATTTCACCTAAGTTATGATTCAAAGGGTATACATAAACCTTTACTAATATGAAAATAGTTAAAGAAGGAACTTACTTCTTCAAAGGTTTCACCTTTAGTTCTTAAAAGAACAAAAAAAGCACTAATTAAAGCTTCATCAGCACCATCCAACAAATAATCAAGAGATTCTTCTGCTTCATATTCCGTCAAGTCTTTCCCACTAATTAAAGATCAACTGAACCAATCAAAAAAAGGAACAAACTTTAATCACAATAAGAAAAACCCAATTCACCATTGTATTTAAAAAAAAAAAAAAAGCATCCTTGTTTATTACCTCGCTAAAGGTGGATATGGATGACTGCTTATTGGAGGAATTGGTCAAAGCATAATGAAGAGTTGAAAACTTTTTTTTGGGTGATATTGGCAAGTGGGTTACTTCCAAGAAACAATTTAGTAAGGTCTCTTTTTGCAGAAAGAGATGCAGATGCTGAAAATGGAATGCGGTTATGAAACAGAGCTATGTCTTCACAGTTTGCCAGATGAAAGGAGGCAGCTTCTGTTATCCAATTTAATTTAATGAACTGAAACTGAAGAAACTAGACTGTGGAGTAATAAATATGGGGAAGGAAATTGAGTTCGGTAACAGAAGGATCATATGAAATTAAACTGCCTTGTGGATATGATGTAGTAGTGCTCGTTTCTTGGTATTTTAATTTATAGTCAACTTCAGGAGGGCCCAGATTCATAAATTAGGGTTTCTGGCATATAAAGTATAAGACATTTCTATGCCACGTAACAAATCTTATTACCCTTAATATTTAAGGTTTAACTTAATTATATTTAGTATACCAAATTATTAATTCTATACCATAATTAATTAAGGGTATAATTAATTGTACGTTTTTTACTCCTTAATTAAAGGAATCTGAAAATTCTTCTTTGTTTATATGAGAACAGAATTTGAAGTGCTTAATCCAGGCATTCTTGGATGCAGATTCCTCCAATATTCATTCTTTGATGCAATAAGTGTCTCGTTGAAGCCTAATCCAAAATATTGCTTTTGGTTCTTCCATATATTCCAGATGATGCTATTAGTTGTGATGGAAAATCAGTAGCAACTTTTGGTGAATAAATATTGCATTTCTTGGGAATGTTCGGTAATATTAACTGGAAATCTTACCTTAACATTTCCCAATTCAAACATCCATCAGAACCATTCCAGTTAGAGATAAGATGAAAACAGAATCAATTAGCAACAGAGAATATGCTAGATATATATTGAAAGAACATATCTTTCAATATATGTTCTACAAAAATTCTACAAATATACAACAAATCAGTTTAAGTATGTATAAAGCAGTATTATTTGTAAGGGTATCTACATAATTACTACATTTATACTAAATTGTAGACTATTTTTTGCAGAAGATTTGTAGAAGTTTTAGTCGTTTTTTATTTGTGAAAACAGAAAACAAAACATCTACAATCAGAATGTAAATAATCTACAATTTATCTACAAGATATTTACAGACTGGGTATATTGAATTTTAATATCCCAATTCCCATTCAATTGTAGCTTAATTGGTATTTTCGACATAATTGCGTTTTTTGCAGAAGATTTTGTAGAAATTTTAGTCGTTTTGGATTTGTGAAAACAGAAAACAAAGCATCTACAATTAGAATACAATCTACAATTTATCTACAAAATATCTACAAACTGGGTGCATTGAATTTTTATATACCAATTCTCATTCAATTGTAGCATTGTAAGCACATGATTTTTGCTTTACGAGCAATCGCTCCAAAAGAAAATAAAAATAGTAACAAATGGTTTCGCTGTACAATTGTTCGAGTTTTCGTGACATGTGTTGTTAGTCATTTGTGGATCTGTCCATTTTTGCATTTAATCATTAACAAACAAAAATACAAAATATGTATGTTAGGATGATTAAACCATAATTCGGTCAGTAAAAGAAAATTCAAAAAAATATATATATGTGTGCATCGTTCGTTCNAGCCGCCCTAGTCTCCTTCGCCATTAAAGCCGGCGGCACGAACGCCGGTGACCACCCCCTGAACACCCTAAGACCCCCTCACTCCCCTGAACACGAATCCACTAACCACGAACCTCGAATCATCTCCTATCGTCTCGAATCTGGATTTGAAGATTCGAGGCAAAACTCGATCTACACCAAACCTCGCCATTTTTGTACCAGCCACTCCCCTGACCTTCCTCGTGACCAAACCAAGCTTGGTTTGGTCCGAATCTACCCACAACTCCTTAAAAATCAGATCTGGAAATCCAGACCTTAGAACACATGCACCTGGGGAATCCGCCCGGTCTTGAAAGGGGTTTTGAGGTTCAATGGATCTTAACCAAGGTGTTCTCATGTGAGAACACCCTGGTTAAAATTTGTTCGGCCTCAAATGGGCAGAGTTAAGTCGGATTTGGGTCTGTTTGATTTAAACATTTTTCGGTAAGTTTTCTTTCCCTTTTCGTTTATATTAATTGCTGATTAAGTCATTAGCATTGCTGTGTGGTAATTGTTTTTTTTATTATTTTTTGATAGTTTCTTAATTTCTTTCTTCTCTGTAAAGGCCTTTTTATTTGGTCGATTTTGTTATGTGTATGACTCTGAATGTACTCTGTGATAAACATGATCGTCGATTAGTTTAATCGTCAGATAAGTTGACTCATATAGGCCCCAGTAATTGAACAAAAATTGTCCGATGCCCTTTAGGTCCCTAAATGTATTGTTTATGTGAGCGATCGATTATTACCTGCTATAATTAGTATAGTCGACTCGATAAATGTCGTCGATTAGTTTTCTATAACTAATGAACCGAACGAGCTAATAATGTCGCATGACTAATTGAGCTTTGCCACTGACTGTATGATCCAGGATTGTTTGAAATGGATCGTTTGCACTGTAAAACTGACTGAAAAGGTACAGCCCAGGCAGTCTTAAGTTCGAACTTTCATCAGATAAAAAATGCCCTGATGCTGCAATAGGCAGGGGCAGTAATAATCAAGGTTGACAGGGGTATTCTGGGGTGTTAAAAAGAACAGAAGTAATTAGTTTAAGTGAGCTGACAAATGGGGTACTAAATTAGGATTAAACTAATGCCAATGGGGG